GGTGTAGCGTATAACCTGATGCCTGTGAGGATGCCTCTGGCAAACCTGACAGAACTAGAATTCAACTTATACATTTTATGCAAAGCTAAGTTGAATTAATGTTTCTCTAATGCATATATAAAGCAGATGCCATTTTTGGTTTTGCTCTGCATTCCACCAGATGATTTAAAAAATGAGGTGCTCTGCTCCATTGGTGGGGCTCTGCTCCATTGGTGTAGCTTCCTGCAACTGCTCATTCATTTCTCTGTAGTGTGTAGTGTGCTCCTGATGCTCTAAAACCAACCATACGACCTGAACAAAGGTGACTGAGTGGAGAAACCTCTTAATTCATCTCACGGGTTGTCGAAGAAAGGTCATTTCACATAATATGGGGGCCTCCTTTACACGGGGTCTGAGTCCCCAGGAGAGAAGTGCAGGAAATAGGGTCCAGTACTCTCTTGCCTTTTCAGACTCTGAGATCCAGCAGCACATCCAAAATTTTTCTCACCTCTTTGGTGTGAAAATGAGGTCTTTGCAAATCACTAGGCCCACACTGGAACAGGCGATGTGAGAGACTTTGCCTAATCCTAAACGCTTTTGTCTGTGGCATTAGGTGTTCCCAGGAAAACTAAACACACAACAAGTTTCATTTATAAAATAGTCTGCTGAACAGTCAGCAACATGGCATCTCCAGGCCCACATCTTCTCATTCATATCTGCTGTACCAAGGCAGGGTCCCACACCCCTGGCCAGTGCTCATTCTCCAGAGGCACTTGGTGTTTCTCCCTCTCTTTCTCATTCATATTCTGGTGGGATGCTTTGGCTCTGTGCTCCATCGAATCCAAACAGCACTATATGACATTGCTGTTAATGAACAGGAGCCTCGTGCAGTGGCTGATTAAAAGCTAGGAAAGACAGACATTGTGGGAAAGGTCTTTAAATATTTTCCTTCTGCACTAAGTCCTGTCCTTTATTTCTTCTTTCTCAAAAGAAGGGCAAGTGCCAAACATTGAGAATTTATTACCATTTTGCTTTCTGATGCAAAACATGCTGTAGTGTTTCGGATTCCCTTTCTCTGCTTATTTCTGCTCCTGTTAGATCCCCAAGCTTTCCTCGTGTCCCTAATTGCTGACTTCTGAACATCACAATGTAAACAGCTTTTGAGCCTTGGTCTTTGATACTGTCACTTTTGATACTTAGAGAAATAGAACAATTTTTAGCAAACAGCCATATAGAAATATGCCCCCTGCAGTGTCTGACCCTGGATGAAAGTTCTACCACTGTAACATGTTTAGGGACCAGATGCATGTGAATACACTGTATGGCTTCAATTTAGACTTCACTGTTCTGACACTTAAATATTATCATGGAGCAACTGGCTTCCAAGGATCCTGATGCAAAAGTTGAGAGGAAGCAAGGGGGACTTCATGTGATTAGGGACTTGTTGATTCATTGAAGGGGGGCAGCACAAACACAACTAAACAAATCAGAGCCAGGGTGCACAGGTGAGAGTATGCAGCCTGACTGTGTGTCCTTGTACCCCAAGATTTTCCATGCTGAGCCTGGAGTTTGACTACATGTGCCAGTATGACTATGTGGAGGTCCGTGATGGGGACAATTTGGACAGCCAAATAATTAAGAAATTCTGTGGAAATGAGAGGCCACCTCCCATCCGAAGCACTGGGTCTTCACTCCATGTCCTCTTCCAGTCTGATGGATCCAAGAACTTTGATGGATTTCATGCTGTCTTTGAAGAAATTACAGGTAAAATAATCCAAAAGTGGAACATGCCGCTCATTCTCATTAATTCAATTGCATTAATCTCTCTCCCTGTTTTGCTTCATTAAAAACTTTCGTGCTGTGTTGCCAACAGCAACTTACACAAAGTCAGTGCAGGGAAGGTTCGAAAGCCGTTAGATGACATACGAATTCGAGGCTTTTCTAACAAAGACTGAATTCCTTCTACCTGTGAGAAGAACAAGCACATCAGCCAGCACAGAAAAGCTGCTGTTTTGTGAGACTTTTTTGTTTGAATCTGAGCAGTAAGAGCACAGAAGGAAACGGAGGAAGGGACATGTGCATCTGCAATTGCAGAATTGCTCAATGCTGTGGGCAGGAGCAGAATCACTGTCTCAATTAGCAAAAACCTGATGTGAAGCCTCATAATTAGCTCAGAAAAAATGCCCTAACGTGACTCTTGTGTTGGCTCACGTGTCATGCCATTAGAGCTTAAAAAAAAGTGTGTACAAAGGACAGATTATTTTCTTGAAGGAAAAGAAAACAGAGGCATTTTCCATGGTGTGATGAACTCAGTGTTATGAAGGACAGAAGCAGGGCTCCAGAATTGCTGTGGTTTTGTCAGAGCTCAGTGCTCACGTCCCCCACACCGCTTTCATAGTTTCTTCCTGGCTGCAAAATAACGTTGGAAGTGTAGCTGGTGAAGCAGCCTCTGCACAGTTCCTACATCTTCCTTATTCAGCTGTGTAGGGAATTTTGGTCAAATCTATCCACAGCACTCCTGACACAGAAGGCTAATCAGAGCATGCTGCTTCCACACAGATAAACCCTGCAGGATCCATGACTCACTATAACTTGCTTTCCACACACCCTGGTGCCCCACGCTTCCTGAGGTCATCCATATGGGGTATATCTGCCTTGGGAAGCTTAGTTAATTTATATAATCTTGATATAAATACACAAACCTAGAGTGGATCAGCATATAACAGTGATCAGGGGTATGTAACTAGCAATCCAAAATGTGCTGTTTCTTAGCCTGCCCTGTTCTTCTAGTGTTACTGTTAGTACCTCTCAGGAGCATAGCAGAAGCAGTTAGCTACTGATAGCTCTATAGTACAACAGGAGAGGTGATACAGAACAAATGAACGTTGTGTGGGCTCCTGCATAAGGGCTGCCTACACTCAAGGAACTACCATTATCCATATGGTGCGAGCTGAATGGATTCTGTTTTCTCTGCGCAGCAGGGAACTCTTGGTATTCCAATACTGTTGAGCACTTTATTTCCGCCCTGTTTTTAGTGGTAATTATTCTGAGGCTGGGTTGCTGCAAGTGTGGTAATCCGCACAAGGCACGTTGCAAAGGGCTGCTTAGAGTTTGTGAGGAGGTCTTACTGTGCACTTTATTATGAGGCTGTTCTGGCCTAATGCGTAGTTGCTGTGAAAGGCTTTTGAAACACTCCCAGTGTCTTTTTATGTGAAGCATTAACCTGGCCAGCAGGACAGTTTAGGGGAAGAATACAGCATGCACGGGGCAGCGGGGAATTGAAAACAGGGACGGGACAGAATCGAAAGCTCTGGCAGCACATTGCAAACTGAAACTTTTCTCACTGTGGAAAAGCCAAGGTCCCTGGAACAGATTGCAAAGGGCTTGCTAGAGCAACTCCCTGTGCTGCAGGTGAAAGCAGCAGCAGCATATGTTCTTACAGGAAGAGGACCAGGCTGTGGAGGTCATGTCCCCGGCACCTTAGTGATGTGATGGAGAGGACTGAAAAAGCACCTTGTGCTGTCAGAACTGAATTTCTTCCCTTTCTGTCTTCCCTTCCACTGAGCTCTGTGCTGGCTTTTAAGTCATAGCTTGCTGAAGCAGTGGCACTGACAGCACAGAGGTCACTGGTTCAGCTGCCAGAAAGGTATTGATTGGTACAGAATAAGCTGAAAAGCCTAAATCCCCTTTAGGAAAGGTCACTGCATGTGTAGTTGTTAAAGGATGAAACCATAAAACCTGCTGCACTGCCTGGTCTGGAAGCAGGTGTTAGGTCCCATCCCATGCCAAGTGTCAAATGAGAACCAGTAATTGGCATGAGTGACTAGAATTCATCCAACAGACTTCACATGAGGATGGGGAAGCATATGGGGAAGCATCAGGGTCTCTTGGGGATTAGACATATGGTGGGTCTAGTTAGATGAAAGCCTGTTATTGAATTTCAGTAACGCTTTCCTTTCTGTACCCTCAAGCTAGTGATCTCTGACACAACACAGGGGCTTTAACCTTTTGTAGTACTATCCCGCACTGTTTGAAGCCAGGAAATCAAGACTCCTTTAAAAAGAAAAATATTCAGTGCTCTTGAGTATCAGGCATTTTCAAGGACAGTATCTGACACTTACCCTTGTTCACGTAACATGCCTACTTTTACAGAATCATGAGACAAAGCTGGGACAAGGACAAAGCTGGAAGTTCACTGGCTTCAACCCAGTAACTACAAAATAGCAGTCTGTACAGGTTCTTCTGCTTCTCCTTCCCTTTCTCAGGGATATTTTAGATTAGTTGGATACAGTACAACTGCCACATATATATTCCTTTTAAGGAATGAATTACTGTCCTTAGTCCTTAATCTTCAATGAGCCTGGAGGTAATTCATTGCCCACTCAGGTATGAATTTCTGTTCTATCACCACCCATATGTGATATCTATATATTTTTTATCTCTCAATATCTGGATATAACAGACTCAAAAACTACACTTCAAGTGAAGTCTTTGCAAGGAAAGCTGTTGGCTCTGATATCCAGAAAGAGCAGAAGTTTTTTTGGCATGCGTTACACCCTTTACTGTGTCTTTGTAGCTTTTAACCAGAATGTGTAATTTACTCCAAGACATGACCATCATGAGAAAAAACAGGTAGGGCCCACACCCTGTGAGAAACCGTGAACGTTCTTACTCTTTCTTTTATAGCTTGCTCTTCCTCTCCATGTCTTCATGATGGAACGTGCATTCTAGACAAAAGTGGTACCTACAAATGTGCCTGTCTGGCTGGCTATACGGGGACTCGCTGTGAAAACTGTGAGTACAGGCTCTGTGTGTCTGACCCATATCCACAGTTACTGATGCAGGCTATTCATTGTTAGGAGTTTCATTGATGTGTAGATTAGGTCACTCACAGTACCAGAGAATGCACTGAGCTTCTTGTGGCATTTTTTGAGACATCTTGCTTGTAGTTCATGAAGGTTTCCACTGAATAGTTCTGGAGCTTTATATCTGTGTAAAAAGGTAAGCCAGAACTGGAGCTGGGAAACAGCACACAAGAAATCTTGCAAGGGACTAGCGTTATCAGACAGAGAAATACCTGCATGCAAATTTCCATTGTGTGGATCAGCTGTTGACCCTGGTTGAGCCCTGTGCTGAATGCTCTAGCCAGAGCCAGTCCTAGTGAGTTTGTCTTCCCTCAGTCACCTGAAAGGTAGAATTCTGGCACCATGAAGGACAGATTTGGGATTAGATTCTATCCATCTCTGCATTGGTGGTTCTCTCTGTCTGTACAGTCGTAAACCTGGTTTTGTCCTGCCAAGCAAGTTGTAAAATAACTGCATTCAAATGAGTTCAAATCAATTGTCTGTTCTAGTGATTTAATTCTTCATGCTTAAACAAATATCCTCATCTAACAGGATTGAAAGAGCAAGGAGTAAGAATTGTGCAATACATGCCATGATAAAGGCTGTATCATCTCTGCTAGCTGAAAGGAGCCTTGTGCCATATATGAAGTCACTGAGTAGAGCTCCAGGTGACTCTGGAGGATTTCAGTGATACTAGTGAAATCCACTTGGGATCATATCTGGCCCAAGACAGAAAGCATGGGTTACTGTGCCCTGCTGTGGCATTACTATGGCCATAAGGCACAGAATACCTTGCCAGCTTCCAGACTTTTCAATTCCATGTCAGAGCAGCCAGTACACACCAAACCTCACTGCTTCAAAATATTTTCCCCATGCATGCCATTGTGTCTCCTGAAATTCCTTTCACATTGTCAGGGGACTTAAATCATAGTGACATGATACCTCCTTGCATGGGCCATTTTGAGATAAAAGACCTTTTGATTTCTACAGATCCGAGCAGCTCGTAAGACTTGACTTTTCTCCCAGCAGACCAGAGGAGAGGTAGTTTCACATATTCTGTAAGCCTGAAAAAGTTCTGGTTCTGAACAGCCATGCCACATTGCCAGATTGCAGATTCCTCATGTAGGGAAGGAGCTGCTGAAAATGGAGGTGCTGATGTAGCTGGTTCTGCTTAACATCCTCTTCTCTGTGAGTAGTTGTTTAGCAGGTCATTTAGGGACTGGAAACTCCCCAGCTGTTTGTAACTGCCCAGTGAGATTAATTTCTGTCTTTAGGAGAGAGTTAAAAAAAAAGGAAAAGTCTCCTTTCTGGTTCAGAACCAACCCAAACTTAAAATTAATTAAATTTCCAGCAAACCTCAACCCTAGTTTTGGCAGGCTCTGCACCACAGTCAAGGCAAGAAATGAAGCTCATATTCTTTTACTAGTTTTCTTTTGTAATTCCAGAACAGAAACTTCACACATGCGGCACATAGAGCAAACAACAGAGGAGGCAGTCAAAAAACAATCAGATGAGACTTCATGAGGGTATAGTTAGTAACAGAATAGAAGGAAGGAGACACCTAAAAATATATACAGTGATATTTTTAACTTGACAGGAATCCTGTAGTTTGATTTGTGAAAGAACAGTTCAGGTGGATAAAACACTGTTACTTTATGATGTTTGTGGCTGTATGCTTGCCTTTTGCTTACACTAGGAAATATTTTTTCCAGCACCTATATTGCTGCCTTCCATAACATAGAACATAGATAGAGGTTCAGGGGTTTTTTTTTCTTATATGTGAATAGCAAACCTCACAGTGGGAAAACATCATGGCAAATCTCTGTTCTCTCTGGCTTCACAGTTTCTTTCTTAAGATATTTCCTTCAGTTTTGCCAAAATGTATCTGAAGTATTTTCCAGCACATGGGGGAAAAAGGCAGGAAACTAAGGTTTGATTTGGTTTTTAAGAGCAAAAGAAAGAACTGAGTAAAATATCTGTATCTGTAATTCTTCAAAAATTAGTCATGTGGTTTCCTGAACAGCACTGCAGTTTAAATGCTAAAAGGAGATCGTGTCATGCTCAGAATCTGCCTGTCTGTTGGGTCTTGCAGCAACAGTGCTGTGTTGTGAGGCTGAGCCAAGGGAAATAAATATATTTCTGCAGGAAACAACCATAAAATGGTCACTTTTGCAATTCTGACTTAGGACAGTGAGGATGATTCTTTTAGTCTGGTTTTCTTGGAGCAAGTCAGGTGCAATCCCATTAAAGTCACTGGATTTATGTTGAGACATAACTATGAGAGAAGAAAATTAGAGCCCCTTAATGTTAAGTGCATGTAGAAGATTTGAGGTGGTGCGACAGAAGGTGCCCGGAGAGATACAGGGGTTGTGTAGAAATCCAAGGGCCTTACTTCAGAGGAAGGGAGACTGTGGGATTATCTCATTGAGGAATAAGTTCAGGCCAAATTAAACAAATTCAGCAATGGATATTTGATGACAGAATCAGACATTTTCCAAGTCCCTCACCATCGCAGTGCAGCTGTGTCTTTTTGTCCGTTACCAAGTTTAGTTTTAAAGATGTGGGAATCACTATTGGAATTACAGAAATCACCTTAATGAGATAAACCACAAGGTTTTCCCTCTGTTAAACTAAATTCCATCTGCCTAGCAGGATGATCAACACTGGTCAAGCTGCTTTCTGGGAGTCATATTCAACCCTAATTGCTCTGTCAGTTACAATCTGCAATAATAATAAAATAATTAAAGGCACAGATTGCTTGTAACTAGCAGTCTCTTTTCTCTTCTAGTATGGCAGCCAAGAAATGATCTTTTTGTTTACTATATAATATAGTGGTTTAAAGGTTTCATCAGCTTGAAGTGAAATGCAGGCATGTATCTTTCTAACAGCTGTTAATATTTCAATCAGTCCTGTTTCAAGGCAAAAAGTATTTTATTTGAATATGTCTGATTTCACTCCAGAGACTGTATTTAAAAAAAACCAAAACAAACAACAACCCTGCGTGAAACTGTAAAACAAATGTTAACCAATAGAGTGAGATCTTTTCTTAATTCTTCTGTCCTAAACCACATTAACAAAAAGGCTAAGAGACCAGCACCAAATAGCTTCTTACACATAAGCTTGCTTTATTATGATGATATGGTAAGTAGGGAAAACTACTTCCTACTTTAAATACTTAGGCTTCTTTCTGATCTTAAACTGAATTTGCAGTACACCTGGATACCCATCCCAGTGACCCCTTAGCCATGCTAACATGTTGGAGGTCAAACTCAGGCTTTTCTGTTTGAGCTTTTTGGATTTTCATTGAAATAATCCTGCAATCAAACTCATTTAAAACAAAACCAAACCCAAAATCTTTTTCCCTTGGTTTGCGATGCCTTGAAACAGAGCAGCAACTTCCTCAAAAGATGCATGTTAGAGAAAAAGTAACTAGTGGCCTCATCCTGGTGCTCTGCATGCTAAAAAGCATCCCCAAAAGCATCAAGGCTGTCAACAACTCTGTACAGTGTGACGACTGCTTGTTCAACTCCAACTAAGAGAGGTCTTTTCCAAAGTCTCAGTGTTGAGTTTGCCTGCTGAAGATGCAGGTGTGGAGAGATGGCACTGCTGGTAACCCATGGCAAATGCTCTCCCCCTCTGCTTGTCCTCCTCCTGGGACGGGGTGTTCTGACTCAAGAGTCCTTCCAGGGCTTGCTGGCCCCAAAGCAAGAGACCTTGACCTCATCCTGCTCTGAAATTTCCTGTTACCTTTATTTCAAACAAAGCTGGGTGAACTAGAGTTCCTACGCAAATAAGAGGAACTTGTGCTGAATGGGGAATTCAGGGCTAAGATCCGATTTCCATTTTTATTCTGTTCCTCGCTCCTGTCTGCCAAGAAGAAGAGGATTGTTCTGCATCCTAATGAAGGGTCTAATCCAACTGACTAAGCTGAATAAATGAGCTCCTTGCTGTTGCCTTTGATGTTGCTGGGGCTGGCCTTAATATGTTCCAACAGGCCTCTGAAAATCATAGAATCGTAGAATCATCATAGAATCACAGAATGGTTTGGGTTGGAAAAGACTCTAAAGATTATCCAGTTCCATCCCCCTGCCATGGGCAGGGACACCTTCCACTAGAGCAGGTTGCTCCAAGCCCCTGTGTCCAACCTGGCCTTGAACACTGCCAGGGATGGGGCAGCCACAGCTTCTCTGGGCACCCTGTGCCAGCGCCTCAGCACCCTCACAGGGAAGAGCTTCTTCCTAATATCTCATCTAAATCTCCCCTCTGTCAGTTTAAAGCCATTCCCCCTTGTCCTGTCACTACAGGCCCTTGTCAAAAGCCCCTCTCCAGGTTTCTTGTTGGCCCCTTTAGGCACTGGAAGCTGCTCTAAGGTCTCCCTGGAGCCTTCTCTTCTCCAGGCTGAACAAGCCCAGCTCTCTCAGCCTGTCTCCAGAGCAGAGCTGCTCCAGCCCTTGGAGCATCTTTGTGGCCTCCTCTGGACTCACTCCAACTGGTCCACATCCCTCTTGTGTTGTTGCCCCCAGAGCTGGATGCAGGACTGCAAGAGGGGTCTCACCAGAGCAGAGTAGAGGAGTAACAAGGAGCAACCACTCCTTGTCCTCTCTGAGGAATACTTATATGCTGTTTGTAGCTTCTGGGGCACAAGCATGAAGACTGCATGCTCTTGCAGTGCTTTGGGGTCACTTTAAACTACTTTGAAATTTTGCTGGACTAACCAGCATGCTTAAAAGCTGACTGTTGCATTCTTCCCCCTGCCAACAAATTTCATTCAATGGCTTCATTCCTCCTTGAGGATTTTACACTCAAATGTCTCTAAGGGACGTGCCTGAGCACACTTCCCTTTGTTGTACTCATGGGCATGATTTCACTGTCTTACTCGCTGTTTGCAGCTAATACAAACACGGCCAAAAAGAATGGCCCCAGGCAGTAGGAATGCTGACACAATGAGGC